AAACCAACCACCATGCACCACATGCCATATGCGACAACCTGGCCCCACACAACCAACAAACACGACAAACACAGCCAACACCACAGCAATTAACTCACCATCATAACAACCCACACTACTAATAACCATAACTAGTATCATAACAATCCACAACCACCATCCATAAAGTTTTCAACCTGAAAGAATCAACGTATAATACAAGCTCAGCTTCGAAAAAAAAGACATTTCAACTTAACATATGGCTTTTGTGTTTTTTTCGCTGGTATTTTGGAAAGGAATGATCAGAATCTTTCCGGAGCGTATTTGACCCTATTAGAACCAAATAGATCACTGTCTGGTGTCTTAATAACACATTAATATCACTTGCGTATTATCACTTGAGTCTGGCCGCAAATTACTTGATGGGTCAAGTAATCTCTGGGCTTATATAACAACCTTTTTAAGGTTAAAAAGTTCTTAAATGCGCATTGTTTGCATGTTTGATACCTCATGCTCTAGAGCCTCTCTGGAATTTTTAAAAAAAGAACAAGAAAAAACAACTAAAATGAATATATTTTTGAGGAACGAAGGCCAATCAAAGGTTAGAGTTGCGGACAGGTGATTAAGTTGCCCGTGAGTGAATGATTCGTTAGGTTATCTGTATACCAGAATCAAATTAAAGCACTAATCCGCAGATTGTTAGACAAGATCCTTTACTCATATTACTTCAGCCACTTGTCTTTCAACTGTAAGATTTCACTGTCATTGTCGACCACCTTTTTTGACGCGACAGTCTTCGATAGCATTCTCGAGTATTCGATCTTCGTACTGTTATTCTTCATCCCTAATCCCATTGCCTTGAAGGCGCCATAGCATTGCTCTGATATTCTGGATTGATATGCTTACGAAACGCCTAATGCAACCTAGGACCAGAAGCTATTTGTCTTTGGCTACGGACACACGGTGCAACATTGCGCGCAATGTTGAATGCAATTGATGTTGCGAGCCACGACACAAGAAGCAATTTGTTGCACGCAACGTTGCTGAAGTAGAAAACTATCCAACTATGCAATGCTGCGCGCAATGTTGCACCGCGTGTCTGCCTTCAGAGGCGCTATATAGGCCATTTTACAATGCGTGGAATTATCATATTGCGTAGTTCGAGAGCGCAGCTGGTTAGGGGCGAGGTATATATTCCTTAAATGAAAACGAAATTTGTGCCCAACCCAATTTAAAGACCAGACGCAAGATTTTATAGAAGAGCTTTAATAGATATATCAAAGGCCAAAATATTGTATTACAGAAAATTGGAATATCCAATAATACAGTGAATTGTCTCTGTGACCATTGGCTTGGTCAGTCCACTTAATGCTTAGTTTTATTATAACTACATAAACATTGAAAATAATCAGCTTTTTCCATCTCCTTGGATTCTCCGTTCCTCAGTGTAGCGTGTACTCGCTTGCAAACTCACTAATGCTATGGAAAATATGGGTTGTGCTACCTTAATTTTAAATATGCTAGAAATATATGGTAAAGGTTTTGATAACTAAGTACAATGGCATTAATATTCCTCCCCGTTTAATTGACAATACTGCCTCCGAAAGGACCAAAGATAAATCCCTGGGGGACCTCTACGGGATTCAAATTTGTTATCCATACATTTCAAAGCTTTTCTCTCTACCTTTGAATACAAACGAGATACGGCTATCTTGAAAAACCATTTTTGAAAAAAAAAAGTTTTCCCGCCGACGCCAGGCGGATACATTTAAGATTTTCCCCATTTTTTGTTAGGCTTTCATCATATAAAACTTAACTCCTTTTTTCACTAAAGCAATGATTTAATAGATCTCACAGCCCGACACGCTCAAGTCGAACCATTGGCAATCACGTGACAAGACCGGATGGTCAGGTTCTAAAATTAGGGGGGAGAGGGTGAGGGATGAGATCTATTACCATGATCGACTAACAGCGAGCATCTTTGATAATTCAGTTTTTCTTGCTATTTTTCCTCTCGTTGCTATCACTTACTTATCGTTTGGCCGGAAGGAAGACAAGACGATTCCTGTCCAAGATCTAGATATATATATTTCTATTTATATATTTTCAATTTTACACTTTTTTATTATAAAATCAATCGAAAAAAAAGGTCACTTATTACGGGCACAAACAACCTGACTCTTACATTACAAATTCAGTTTAAATTATTTATCTTACGTTTAGCAGTCTTCAAAAAATTCAGTGTTTTTAATCAAGAGAATTTTACTTGTAGTTCTCATAAGAGCGCATGTCACGCGGGACGGGGGGGGGGAGGGTTCTCACATGTCTGCCTGGTAGTGCGCGTGCATGACGTCATCTTATTATGCATAAATTCAACAAGCAGCCGCTGTACGATAAATTTCGAAGGCGCACGGAGAAATATTTTTCAATTTGATGCGCTTCCCTTTTTTTCGTTATTAGAAGGGGGGGGGGGGAAGGCAAAAATCGATTGTTCTTCCTGCCGGCACAAAACGTGACGAAAATACCGAGAACTAAAGAAAATATTTTCCATTTTCACTTTTGAACGAAACTAGAAGATAGTTAACTGCTAATACCCTAATAATAATAAACATTAATAGATATTAATAATAAAGCAAATACRTCGACATTAGATAATAATAATATTATATATATAAAACTACCTTGCATCGAACCAAAGACACAGGCAACCCACTTGCGTTTTTTTGAAGTATGAAATAATTGTCAAACGTCTATAAGGTAAGGTTGCAAGGCCAGTTGGAACGGCACGTTGAAATCTTTTGTTAGCTATTTAAGATCTTATTCATTGCTTCGTTTTTGTCTTAGTAATTGAATATCTACACTACTAATGATCCATCTCAACGCATATCGAGAATAACCATACGTACCCTACCCCTCTTAGGCTTACAAAAAAAAACTCACGGGGGTATAGACCACGAAAAAATTGCTAAAGATGTCCTCCAATATGGTTGATTTGGTTCAGTATTTCTCCCTGAATATCGGCCAATTTGAAAGAGCACTAAAATACCTAAATAATAGGCTTTGTTTTTATATATATTGTTATGTATATATATATTCTTTTGGACTTGTTTCTATGGTCACGTTGGAGGCTTCGATAACTTACTTATAACTCGAATCAGCGCACCGTTTTCTTCTTTCAGTCGAGAATTCTCCGATTTCAAGTCGTTTAATTGCTGGAAACAAAAGAGATGCGAGTGTTAAAGTAATTTCCAAATAAATTTTAATCTTTTATACTTAACATCATATTTAGTATTTAGCGGCAACGCCCAGCCGCAACGTCATAATTTTGTGTTTAATAAAAAWTTTCCATAATCATCATTATAAAGATTATAATCGTCATCTTCACCATCATCACTTCCATCAACATCAACATCAACATCCACGTCATCATCACCATCATTATCGCTTTTAATATTTAAAAACGTTTTTCCATAATCATCATCATAGAGATTATTATCGTGATCTTCAACATTATCCCTACTATATCAACATCACGTCACTATCACCATCATCATTATCATCATTGTCATCACGCTCATCACCATCAACATCATTATCATCATCATCACATCATACGCAGTTCAACAGACACACACCTTCAGATCTTCAGTTAATTGAGTAAGTTTTTGCTCTAGCTTTTCTTTTTCCTAAATCACAAAGGCATAGTAACATTAGTACAGGCAAGAGCAGCACGGCACGGCACGGCACGGCAGAACAAGGGTCATAATTATCATGGTGCAAGAAAAAGGGTGAGTCATGATGAACATGGTAGCCCCAAAGGTATATCGTACCTTCTTTGATCTTAAGCATTTTAGTGAAGGTCAAAATCACAGAAATGCAAGAATAACCATAGCTGTAACGTGCCAGTATTGACCGTTCAATAAGGGTCATAATCAATGGAATGGAAAGGACACCCTAGGTATTACGTACCTGCATAGTAGTCTCTAGTTTCACTTTGTATTGTTGTATCTCTATATGAGCTTCTTGTAATTGGGCTTGTAGTTTTTTGGGATCTGTCTCGGTAACTCGTATAGTATTGTCCTGTTACAACATCATGCTACCATTAGTATCATATATTACGCACGTCAAACATTTGAATAAAATATGGCTATGAAAGTCACGACACATGCAAGGGCGGATCCGGGGGGGGGGGGGGCGCAAAGCCCCCCTTTAGCAGAAAAAAAACCTGAAGAATTAGATGATTTTTTAAATTGTTTTCCGTTGTGTTGACGGAAGAAACTCAATTAGCCCCCCCTAAACTCAATTAGCCCCCCCCCCCCCATGAAATTTTGGCTGGATCTGCCCTTGACATGGCATGGTCACCGTACGGAATTGACACGGGACATCTTTTGGACCAATAATAGCAGCACAAGTTTATTACTCAGCCAATGAAATTGCTCTGAAACGGTACCGTCACGATCACGGCAAGTCCAACCAATCACAGCGGAGCAAGTTCATACATCTCTCTTTTTAGCTTGCAATTTTGGAAACGAATTTCAAACCGTGGTCAAATGAAGATGTCATGTTATTGTTGACGTACCTTGGCCGTACTGAGAGGAACGCGCGAGTCCGTAGCTGCTCCCATACCCGTAGCTGTACCTCTGCAAGAAAATATGTCACAATATAATCAATTACTACAAAAACTATTTTATAAAATAAAGGTGCAATTGCTTTTATGAAGTGGAAATATGAAAAAAAGAAAAWATGAAAAAATGAAAGAGATGCTAGTTACCTTGATCCTCGTATCCTGTCCGTAGTCTGTGTACGAAAATGAAAATGAACAAATGGTTTCGTGGATTGAACATACTTACAGGGTGGACGACACGACAGGGAGATTTATAGGTATAAGGCTAGTCGTGCAACTGGGTTAATGATTTCATTATGATGAAATTGATGACCATCATCATTATCAACATCATCATCATCATCACCAACGATAAGCATGACCATCATTATCATCATCATCAACGATAAGCATGACCATCATCATCAACATCATCAACGATAAGCATGAACATCATCATCATGACCATCATCATCATCATCAACGATACGCATGACTATCATCATCAAGATCAATATCACTATTACAATCATGACCTTCACAACCATCATCATCAACGATTATCATGATCATGATCATGATCACCATCATCAACAACGTCAACTACTATCATCGTCATCAACAGCCATCATTATCTTCAACACTATCATCAACATCATGGTCAGTCATCATCATCAACACCATTATCATCATCACTACTATCCACATCATCATTTCAACAGCATCATGACCATGATTAACATCACAATGATCAACAGACATCATCATCTCCTTTATCATCTTTATGGTTACCCAAAATCATCATAATCATTGACATCACCATAATCATTATCATCCTCATCACTATCATCTTTAGCATCATTAAACAATGTTTGAAAGTAGTATGTAGTGTACCTTAATGGAATCATCAGAAGCCAAATCCCTGTCATGGCGTTGTCTTCTGCTATACGAAGGCCTGTCTTCAGTCTCTTCATTTGCCTTGGCGTTCTTCAAGGCATCTTTAGCCTCCTTGGAAGAATCTTCGCTCTTTAGAAGGAAACAGAATAAATGCAAACACGAAGGTTATGATGGTGAGGGAGTTATTCAGTTATTGATGTTAGTAGTGCTTAGCGGAATTAAAGTTAATATACTTGAATAAAGTAATCGAGTGAAGATAGTACTTGTTATTTGTTGTTATTAATAATAGTCATAGTGATGATGATAATTCTGGTAATACTCATGATGATGGTTGATGGTATAAGTGGTGATGGTCATAATGATGATGATAATAAGTGGTAATGGTGACGATGGTGATGAAGATGAAATATGAAGATTATATCATGATGATGATGGTGATGATGAAATAAAGATTGTAGTGGTGATGGTGATGATGGTGGTGACAATATTACAGATGATGATGTGACGAAAACGATGATAAAGATAAAGATAATGGTGATAATGATGATGGTGAGTCATAAGTAGTGGTGGTTAATTAAAATTCAAAGCAGGAAAGACAAGCTGTTATAATTAAAATAAAGGTGAAGATATTTATGCAGAAATCTAGATATGCAAAAGTAAGAAGTAAAGTTCAGTTCCATGAAACGCAACCAACAGACTTCAGGAAGAGAGTGAGAGAAAACGATATACAAACAGGAAAAAAACACCAAGACTTTCTTACACAGAATGACTGYTTTTTTGGACGACGTACTAGTAATGAACGCTTACGATAACGACACTAACAGTATGGACGTAAAAAATGACTAGATGTTGCTAGTTGGGACTGGGTCGGTTTGTCGAAAAGTGATTGAATAAGTGTAAGAATGTTGAAGTCATAGAAGCACGAAGGATTGCGTTACAGGTAGCCCGAGTACACACAAGTACGCAAGTGTTAAGTGGACTGAATCGTGGAGATGCCTGATTGATTGGAGCAGCATTAGTCAATACATTAAATTAGCTTATGTTAGGGTTGAAGTGAATAATGAGGTATCACAGAGCAGTTTGTTGCATTGACTATAGCATACTATAATTTCGACGAACCAGACATGCCTTAGGCTAAAAAATTTCAAGTTTTGCGCATCTAAACTTTTTGATACAACTTCAAAACTTTTGGGTTTTTGGCTTCCGTAATCAAAAATAGGACGTATGCATGATAGCATCTTATGACTACTACCACCAGAATCCCTTGCACACTTTAAGGAAGAAAATTCGCGAAGCATCTTGGTAGTGGTAGTAAAATGACGTCATCATGCCAACCTCCTATTATGAACTCAGACCGTAGTAATTTGATGGAAGGAAAAAAAGGAGGGAAAAATAACAAAAAAAAGGGAGGAGGGAAAAATAACAAAAAAAAGGGGTACATCTGGAGTTGTTTGCATGGAAAAAATAAGAAAACCACTTTAAGACAGCCTTGATTCAGAAACGAAAGCGGAGGATTTGGAGTGGGGAGGGAGGAGGGGAGGCAATTATACACTTGATATCATCGTAGAAGAGGAACATTACAATTACCTACCCTTTCCTACCCCCTCCCTCCCCTCCCTAGCCTATTGCCAAAACAAAACTGTGCTCTGAGATACCACAAGGTGTAGCTAGAGGTGCGTGATTTACCAGCATAGCTTAGTTTAATAATCATTTTAAATCTGCCTAACTTTAGTCTTTACCTATGTATGTTGGTTAGAGGTCGGTTAGAYGTCTGTTTCATTTCTACGGCAACACAGACCAATTTTATTTTTTTTGGCGGGAAATTTTTAGAGAAAAGCATGAGTGTTCCATAAACTTCAAAGATCTCAAAACACTGATGTTATAGCTCTCATTAAACTTGTCTGCTTTTTTTGTACGATTACCTTTTTGTGTCAACTTTATAACAGACGCGATTTCCGCACAAAGACAATCACTTTTCTGATTTAGACCTGATTCTTTTGCTCTTGTTTATGAAGGGTAAGCATAAATGATATACCGTTTGGCATGTTTTGAAAACGAATTATGCTGCTTTGTAGTGATTTTTTCAGCGATGTAAGTATGATGTTGATTTGTAGTGATCATAAAAATGCTTTTTACCAATGAAAGAACGAATTACGCGGATTTATAGCGATTTTTCAACGATGAAAGTACGAGTTACGCGGTATTGTAGTGATCATGAAAAATGTTTCTCACCGATGAAAGTACGAAAACCCGAAGAACAAGCACAGAAGAAAGAAACGAGTGAACAAAAGAACGAATAACAGCTTTAAAAATACTCTTATTGCAAGAAAAATAGAGCTATTTCTTAAGTGCAGAGTGCAGAAGAGTTCGGAAGAGGCAAAGTCCCTTCACGCTCCAGCCGTGTCATGTAGTATTCAATGTTTGGTTTCAATGACAATGAAGCCTAAGGTTTTAAAAGAAAGTTGTGGGGTCAGTGGTAACGATTATAAGAAAAACCCTGCTGGTTGAATGAACACTTCTTAGTTCCACTGTTTTTGCATGCTCTCCGGTTTTCCTACCCCCGTAAATATAGACGTGATTGTTGTATACTGTAAATAATTAATGTAGTGCGTGTGGAGGAAACCTCATCAAAGAGCACTGTACAGGTGAGTGACGGTTGTAAAGAACAATTCTTCCATCTTTGCTGTTATTACGATTGAGCATTAAAAACTGCTAACACAAATTCGCTTACAGCACCCACTACAGTGAGGCCCCAAGTGGATTGTTTAATCCGGCGCAATCTATGAAAGATTAAGGCCGTGCATTTGAAACATGTGCGTCATTACACCCATGTTTTTGCGGCCATGGTTCCATYATAGCACACTGTGTTATCCCGTAGGAATGAGAAATTTACGGAACGCACGTACTGGGCCTCGCACTAAGCGCATAACTTAAGAAGCACGGGTGGTGTGGGTCGCTTCTTACCAATCCCGCCCAGGTTTGATTCCCGAAATTATATGTGAGTAGAGTTTCTAGTTCGTTCTCTCCAATGCTTCGAGAAATTTTCTTCGGGTTCTCCGGTTTTCCTCCCTTCTAAGAAATCAACTTCTTAATTACAATTGATGGTTTTCAACCATTCCCAAGAGAATTACATAACAAAAGACACGGCGGCCATGTTGGAGGATATAACAAAAGAATTCATTGACAATTCTTTTGTTAAGTTCCTCCAACATGGCCGCCGTGAAAACCATCAATTCGATTTTTGGGCTTTCACCTAGTTTGGTTGCTAGCTCTGTTGTGATTTTGCTTGCCTTGTTCTAAGGTTCAAAATAGTTTCATATGCGCTAACTACGTGCAAATCGAAGCAGTTTGAACAGTTACCACTCTAACACCAACAACGACTTTCCCAGCAACCTTGGTGTACTCTTATTTGTAAAAGAGAAAAAAAAGAAAACTCGGGGAGGTGTCATGACACAGCTGTTACGTCAAGGTACTAAGGCTTCCCCCCGGTGCGTAGGATGGAGGCGTACCTCTTCAGGTGGCATATAAGCAACACCAGTACCGCGTCGATCTTCTCTTAATCTCCTTGTTCTTCGTCCATGGGTTATAGTCATGTCAGCTTCCTTCCTCTCTAATTCTGTATCTCTCTTACCCAATAACTCTTTTTCTCTCACCTTTTGTTCCTTTTCCTTCTCTCGGTCCCTGAAGCGCGATCTATAGGTTGGTACCTCTTTTTCTTTCTCTTTCTCCCGTTCCTTTCGTTCCTTTTCCCTCTCTCGTTCTTTCTCCAGAGCTCTTTCTTTCTCTTCTTTTTCTCGCTGTTCTCTTTGCTGTTCTCTTTCCAGTCGTTTTCTTCTCCAGGTTGACATCTCTCCTTCTTCATTCTCCTTGTTCTGTTCCAGGCGACCTTTCTTTGCGGACACGATATCTTCACTCTTGTCCGTAGTGCTCCCTGTTAATCTATTTCTGCGCGACTGGAACTCGTAGCTCGGAGTGGATGAATCCTGGAGGGAAAAACGAATAAAAAAAGTATAAATAAATGAAAGGAAAGAGATTTTATGGGTGCTATTTAATCTTCATATTTTCCGCGCTTTCACACATTTTCCATAACCCTTGTCCCAGAGGCTCGACGATTTTTCTACGTAGCCGGGAGGAAAATCGTCGAGCCTCTGGGACCAGGGTAATTTTCCATCGGACGGTCACCTCTAAATAACGACCAAAAACTTAGCCGTCTCATTTAAGGCAGGCCAAACCTAATAAACCTTCATATTTTCCGTGTTTTTACACATTTTCTATCAGGTGTGTGTAAGTGTGTGTAATTTAAGGCAGGCCAAACCTAATAAACCTTCATATTTTCCGTGTTTTTACACATTTTCTATCAGGCGGCCGCCTCTATATAACGAGCAAAACTAATCGATCGACTTCTGTGCAAATCTATTTAATTTACGTTTACACTTTTCAAGTGGTTGATCACTTGGATTTACAGGAGTTTTTGCGCTAATAAAAAATATTTGCTTCACTAACGAGTTAAAAATGGAATTGGAATTTCTAATGATTCATAGCTAATAAATTCTCATTTTTGGGGGATTAAGTTTAGAAAAGAATTTAAATAGTTAGCTAATATAAGAGGTTATTTAATCCAAGTTATTATCGTTCAACCAGAACGCACTAATTACTTAAAATCAATCATAACTTGTTCTATTATTTCATGAGCGAACCAAACATGTATGTACACCCACGCATCACTCGGGATGTCTTAACAATGGTACGGGCGGGCCCACCTCTCTGGTCTGGGAATGATTGGTTTTACAGGAATTATAGCATCCTGCTCATAGCGACGATAGGTTGATATTGAAGATATAGGCGTTGATAGAAATTGAATTTTCAAAGAATGTTTGTACGATAAAAAAACCTTCATCAATAGGCGGGCACAGTAAAAGACAGCGACCAGCCATAGGTTGAGATAGCAGATGCAGGAATGCAGGGCAAAAATGAATAGACTTTGTTTTTTAATAGTCAATGATAGTGAAGACAGCAGCTATCGCTTGAATAGCAGATGCAGGAATTCAGGGCAAAAATGAATAGACTTTGTTTTTTAATAGTCAATGATAGTGAAGACAGCAGCTATAGCTTTGGATAGCAGATGCAGGAATGCAAGGCAAAAATGAATAGACATTGTTTTTTAATAGTCAATGATAGTGAAGACAGAAGCTATCGCTTTGGATAGCAGATGAAATACTACACGGCAAAACTGCCTGCAAGTTGAAATAATTCCGAACGTCAAAAACAGCAGTTGAGATAGCAAAGAAAGGAAGACACTAAATAATACCCTAAGATTTCCGTAAACATTCCGTGGGATTAGTGCCTCATTTGGTACATGTACAAACAAGATGTTCAATTCTTCAATAAACCATTTCAATGTGCTTAGGCAAACATCACAGCAATAATGAGGTCCAACGACGCACAAGAATTTTAATTGACCCCTCCAGAGCAAACAAAGGATCAAAAAAATGACGTCTTGGATCAACGCGTTGGGAATTATAGATTCAAACGCAAATAAAGTCTTGTCTGGCGGACGAGAAACAATCGAAAATGCTGCCAAAAATTTGAGAGGTTTAATAGATTTTAGATTTGATTCAGTGCGTTTCCCACGGATTTTGCTTCCAGTGTTTACTATACTTATCAACAAACGATGTCTATATTTCATTATCATGGAAATGAAGTCTAATAAAAATAAGCCATTATGGTACRAATAACAATATAAAGATTGAAAACAGATTTGATCTATTCTATAATTTCTTAAAGATCTTGAACATCTTCAGTAACTTTAGAGTAAAAATCCAAGGGTGAAAGAGCTACGCGCTCGCAGCGCCGAAAATCCAGGGACTAAGCTTACGTCTTGATTGCTAGTGACGATAATGTGAAGATCAAATGACAATGCAAAGATTCTTTCATGAAAAAATTCCACAAGCGCTTCAACAATGAATTTCACTGCAAGGAAAACCTTATAATTCCTACTTAGGAAGTTTTTTTCATAAACTTCTTTGAACTGACCATGATGAATGGACATTAGTATCTTTAGTATTAGAATAAGATATTTGACAGAGCATTTTTTTACGCACAACGGCAACGAAAAACGCCTTGCGGAATAAAATAATAATTCTCGGAAATCAAAACCAAAGTTTTAGTGTTTCTGAATTTTGGATTTATAAAAAGTTTCTCAAACCTAAACATTGCGATTATCAGTATTTTTGAAGTATTTGATGGAAATATTGTAAGAGGTTGTTTGGTATTGAAGTAAAGCTACTGGAATGCAATAGCATATGAGCAAGACTAAATCTACAGATGCTAGTAGTCTGGAATGCAAAGCAAAACATCAGATTACCTCCTGTCTGTAACTTCTTTTGGAATCGTAGGATAAGCGATCCCGAGGTGATTTCCTTGAATAAGACATGTGGACAAGGATTCTATAAACACGAGTAATGCTAGGAGAGCACTGCCCAGAATCTGTAGTGGTATTGAGTTTTAGTCGAGCGACAAAGAGCTCAGTTCGGAGTTAGGTTTCAGGTCTGTCTAGAGTAGTTAGGTGCTAATTCAGTCGAGCATGTCAGCTGTTATGACAGTGAGTGCCTTGAGGTCACGTTATTATAAGGTTACGACTGCATGATGACAGGATAGTAGTTTTAAGTGATTGTCACTTGGGGATACAAGTGAACACCAAGACGTCAAAATCTGTCCGTGCCACAGCTATTTTTTCAGCCAAAAGAACAACAAAGATGGCTTAATGACACCCTTTCACGACTTGGGACACCTTACAAATGGTTGTCGTTGTTGTGGGGTGTTAGGGTATGGTAGAAATCAATCGTGATGTTCTGGCTACAGGGCATTTGTAATTAGTATGAAACAACAGCAGTATATCGTCAGGGGGTCAGGAAAAAGACATTGTATTGTGGACTAAAAATAATGCCTTCTGGCAAAATGTTCCGATGGATTCTCCAACCGTAAAAATTGGGGTGAAAGTTTCTTTACTTTTTAAAAATAGATATAAATACGAAAATAAAAGTATCAGATAGCATACCTAGAAAGACATAATGGGAAAATATGAGAAA